GAGTCCCATGACATATCTTTCATCTATTTCTCTTACGTGCTCACACTACTCTCCTATGCATTGCAACAACTTGAATATAGAGCAAGCTTTTTTAAGGAATTTGCCTGTCTCATTTGTAACCACAAATTGAACCCAACAATAGTCTCGAAATCTTGCTGAATGTGAGGGTTTTGCTTCCATGATAATCTTGATGGCTCTATCATCATTTCAAGCTTTCATAGTGGCCAAAAGTTCTTTACCAATGCCCTAACATTAACTATCCAAATACCCTTGGCATTGCCATCATAGCAATGATTAATCAACTTATTCTTAGCCTATTAATCAAGATATTAAATAAATTTAACATATAGCCTATTTAATCAAAATTAAAAATATTTATCTAATTGTAGAATATCAGCCGATTAATCAAGATATTTAAAAAATCTTACATATAATATGAAGTTTTAAAAAAACATCTAAGCATTTATATTGCATTTTAGTTGCATTTTTACGCTACCAAAAAATACTTATGTATTCACATATTGAACATATAAATCTTGATATTTATTCATATAATACTCAAATTTCCAAGTCAGTTCAAAAATATATCCAATATTACTTTAAATAAAGTGGCATGCATCTTTTCTTACATACATATGTATTGATGTGATTTAGACACTAAAATTTCTCATTAATAAATAAAAAAAATTATTTTAAGCAGATAAATATATTGCAGCAATGTAATTTACATGCAAAACCCTCCTATAAGATCTGAGAAGAAACGAAGTTATATGCAAAAATTTAAGCTTTCTCAAAACCAACAAAACTTCCCCGTAAAAACAGGAACTGCTGGAGTTTGGAGAATCCAAGCCATTAATGATGCCGGCGGCTGGGAAGACAGAACTACTGTCGAAGACATGGATTTGGCCGTCAGAGCAAGTCTTAAAGGCTGGAAATTTGTCTATAATGGAAGCATCAAGGTACTTGTTTTGATAGATTGATGTGTGTGTGTGTGTGTGTGTGTGTGTGTGTTGGGAAGACAGAACTACTGTCGAAGACATGGATTTGGCCGTCAGAGCAAGTCTTAAAGGCTGGAAATTTGTCTATAATGGAAGCATCAAGGTACTTGTTTTGATATTCAAGAAATAGATTTAAAATAAGAGAAGTAGAAAAAGATAGTGTACAATATGTTGATCCTTTTAGAGATTTTTTACCACTGATTCACTAGTCTCTTTACTGTAGTAATAAAGTGGGATACAAAAAAGACAATTACTTGCTTACCCATGTCTTAATAGTGTTGCTACAGAGAAAGGTAGTCAGAAGTAAATAAAAAAAATAGATGAATTAATAAATAAATAAATATATTTAGTTAAAAGTAAATAAAAAAAAGATTTAAATACATGTGTAGATGAATTAATAAATAAATAAATATATTTAGTTAGGCTCTTTATGTCAATCAGTCACATGTAGCTGGTAATCTTTGGATTGGTGAGAGGCCACTTGGCAAGCTCTATTCGGTTCAAGTGGCCAGCTAACTGTCGACTGACAGAATCTTTGACTAATCGGCTTTTGTAGTATGTCTGATCGGCTTTTCTAGTATGTCGATCGGCTTTGTATGCTTTAATCATTGGTGGTCATCTTTGATCGCGCCTACTTCCACATTCCGTGAAGATTCTTGCTGACATATTTTTGATTTACAATATAATTTCTTTTCTTCATTTTAATCAGTTGTTTGGTTGATGAATTATAAACAGGTTAAAAGCGAATTGCCAAGCACTTTCAAGGCCTACCGTTATCAACAGCATAGATGGTCATGTGGCCCAGCAGTCTTGTTCAAGAAAATGTTTTGGGAGGTTATATTTGCAAAGGTTAAATCTCATACATGTAACATCAGGCAGTACAATTATCTACTAATAATATCATGCAGTCAAATTAACACTTTCGATGCTCCTTTCATAAATGCAGAAGGCCTCCTTTTTGAAGAAATTATACCTGATCTACAGCTTCTTCCTAACCCGGAGAATTCTAGCTCATATTGTCACCAATTTCTTCTTCTGTGTGTTTATTCCCCTAACAGTTTTCTTCCCAGAAATTCAAATCCCTAAATGGGGTTTGATACATGTACCAGCTGCAATCAGCATTTTAAATGCCGTTGGAACACCAAGGTTTGATTTTTATTTTTTTTAATTTCGCTTTTAACACTATATAATTACAAATATTTCTTACAAACATTAATTTTTCAGCAAAACGAGATCTTCTTATAAATTTATACAAGTGGATAAAAATTACAAAAAGGTGATACTTTGAATAAGGTTCATGACACTTAAGCCGTGCTTGATTATATATTAGTGGTATTTGGTAGCATACTATTTATAGAAATTAATCATGAACTTAACTTAAATTTAGCAAAGCACCCAAATAAAAGAAAAAATAACACTCCCTTAAGTCCAATTTGCAAGCATTTCAAATTTCTCTTCCCATGTTCCGTCATTTTTACATCATAAATTCACGTAAATCGATTGCAAATTGGATTTATTCTCCCTTCACTCGCGAGTTCTTCTGTCACAGCATCGATCCGATCAATCTGATACTGATTGTTAATCTATTTAACATAAAACTAAGTTGCAGCCAAACACTGGCAAACTGTTTTTTCTGGTAACACTGATATTGGTATTCTTTTTTCATGTTTTAATGGTGCAGTTCTATTCATCTAATTGTTTTTTGGGTACTGTTTGAGAATGTGATGGCGTTGCATCGTTGCAAAGCGGTTATTATCGGATTATGCGAAGCTGGACGTGCGACTGAATGGATTGTCACCCAAAAATTAGGAGATGTTGCCAAGGCTAAAACAAATCCAGTCATTTATAAACAATCAATAGTTAGACGTTCGGATAGGTACGTTGATATACTATTGTCAAAATTTACGTATATCCCGTCATTAAAAATAGAGTTTTTACAACATTTTATGAAGACAATCACAACAAAATCATTAAAAATGTTAGCACTACAAAACGTTTTAGCAATATTTTTAGATATCTTTATTGTTTTTTTAATATTTTTAACTTCATTTTTTTTTAAATGCCTTTAAATAAGCATTGTCCAAAAAAAAAAAAATTTAGGAGTCACACGTTTGTGTGAATTTGCTTACAAAATTTAACAAGTTCTCTATGCTCATTTCAAAAATTTACATATATGTTATATGGAAATTACATTGACTTCATTTGTTAAATATTGCAGATTTTATTCACTGGAGGTGTTTATGGGCGTCTTCCTGTTAGTATGTGGGTGCTATGACTACAAATTTAGAAGCGAACGTTTCTTCATCTTCTTCTTCATGCAATCCATCGCCTTCTTCGTCATGGGATTTGGTTATGTTGGAACAAGAATTCCAAGGGCCAATTAGCTTTATATCTTGCTGCCTTTTTTTTTTTCTTTTATTATTACTATTATTACTATTCCATTATTATTATTACCATTAATATTAATATTAATATTAATACTACAACCATTATTGTTCCTTTTATTTTGATAAAGCTGCTGATCTATGTTGCAGTGAGTAGTTCTTCAAACATGTCATATTTTTACGTGCATGGAGTTATGTATGAATAAAAATTGCCATTTACGTGCCATTATGCATTGGAGGAGACAGAGCTGTATAAGGTGTTGTTACTATGGAGATGAAAATGATATATATAATTCTTTCATGATAAGGATAGTTTTATCTTTATTTCAGAATGGGAAGTTGTGGGGGGGGATTGGTGTGTGAGGATTTTAATGGTGGGATCAATGGTGTATTAGTATGTGTTGCAGTATAAATTAGTCTTTTTTCTTGCTGCTGAGGCTGTTTCAAATTTGTACTGTCATTAAGTGGTTTTTTGAAAAAGTATATTTGTTTGGAGAGAAATAATCTTCTCAATGATAATATTATTATGGGAAATTTTCTAAGTTCAGATATTCAGCTCAAAATTTAAGTATTGTAATTTTTGGATTCTTAGAGGATTATTTTGAAATAAATATAATATATAACTTACTAATCAATCAGATAGGGTACATGTTATCTACATTCATCTCAAAATAAGTCTATTAAATAAAATATTCATACTAACATAATAATCATCAAAATAACCACTAAGGGTTCGTTTGGGACTGCTTATTTGCCACGACACGGTCCCAAGCCGCAGAAATCTTTTTTTTTTCTTGTTTGGATTCACCGTTGAAATATAAACTTGATTTTAGTTGTTTAAATAAAGTCTAGTTATGTCTCATCTAGAAGCTTATTCTAGAATATGTGGTAGGTATGAAATTATTTTGTGATAGGTGTGGAATTATTGTGTGGTAGGTATGAAATTATTTGTAACTATTAGATTGAAACTGTAGTGGCACAACCCTAGCCATTAATTTAGGAGGTGTCACTAATATAAATAGGGTTGGAGTCTTTGAGTTTGTATCAAGCCAAATAAAGGTGATAAATAAAAGTGAAGCTTCTTCCATAAATTCCTTTGTCATATCCTAAAAAAGCTTCTCCATTCCAACAAAGTGATATCAGAGCCTAAAGGTTCCTTTATAGAGCAAAGACAAACGGTGACATGGTTTCCTTCCAAGTTTCTTCCAAGTTTTGAGTTTTGATGCTTAAGGAAAGCATCTACAACAATTGGAGTCACAAAATCAAGTTTAAGACGGGATGTTGAAATATAAACTTGATTTTAGTTGTTTAAATAAAGCCTAATTATGTCTCATCTTAAAGATGTCTCATCTAAAAGCTTAATCTAGCTTATTCTAGAATATGTGGTAGGTATGAAATTATTGTGTGGTAGGTGCAATATGGGTGGTAGGTGTGGAATTATTGTATGGTAGGTGTGAAATTATTTGTAACAATTAGATTGAAATTGTAGTGACGCAATCCTAGCCATTAATTTAGGAGGTGTCATTAGTATAAATAGGGGTGGAGTCTTTGAGTTTGTATCAAGCCAAGTAAAGATGATAAATAAAAGTGAAGCTTCTTTCATAAAATTTTAGCATTTTTCATATCCTAAAAGCTTCTCCATTCCAACATTCACGTTTCGCGGGCGCCCGATGGAATTTTAGGTAGAATGCAGGCCTCGGGTTCGACCCCGCTGCCTACGTTTTCGCCAAATTAATTCCCTAACTGCCTCTTGAAGACCGTCATCAACAATGTCTACTACTTCCTCCATCTCCTTATCTTCTTCATTTCTTCTATTTGCATGGAGAGATGGCAAGATGGCAGAGGCGCGACCGATGAGGGTCTGCCTCCGCACACTCTTCTCTCGTTTATTGTTGCGAGATCTATACACCAAACAGTTGTGGTATATGAAATAAAACAAAGAAGAGAACGATCGACGAAGTAAAAAAATAGAACGAGAAAATTCACACCATAAAACGGTAACACCACAACGGAACACACAGATTTACGTGGTTCGGTAAATTGCCTACATCCACGGAGTTGCAGAGGATTTTACTACTTAAGGAATTTACACTAGTTGATCACCTCGAGTTACAAAAGGAATCTCTCACTCTTTGTTGTTCTCTCTTCTTCTTTCTCTGTTCTTCTCTCTCGAGTTACAAAAGGAATCTCTCACTCTTTGTTGCTCTCTCTTCTTCTTTCTTTGTTCTTCTCTCTCTACACCGAGATACACCGAAAAAACTCTACACCTAGATATACCGAAGAAGAAACACGTACAAGAGAAATAAACACAATTTCTCTTCTGTCACTAGATATACCGAAGAAGAAACATGTACAAGAGAAATAAACACAATTTCTCTTCTGTCACAAGCCACCAAGAAGAAGCCTGGGGAGAATATTCTTCTTCTTCTTCCTTCTAGAAGAACTCTTCCTCTGTCCCAAGGAAACCTGAAGAAGAAAACACAAAAAGTGTATGTTGTGAATATTAAATTTAAAAGAGAAACATCTCTTTTATCGTGAAACTGGAGGCAGGAACAGTTAGAGAAACCGCAGGTCGCGGTTGCGACCTTTCGCTATCGAGTGGGAGGAATTGCGACACTTCACGATTGGGGGCTCAGTTTTGCAAAACAGAGGAGGCAGGAGCGGGAGTTGGTGAACTCATATAGCGGGAGGCAGGAGCGGAACTATCGGGCTCCGGCGTCTAATATCTTCCCAAGAAGAATTCCTCTAGCTCCTCATCATGTCCACCTTGTGTATCCTCTACACCACATAAGGCTCCAGTGGCTTCGGTGTCGAACGCGCCTCATTCGCCGCCCAAGAAGAGGTACCAGAAGGCAGGGGAGTTAGTTTTAATGTATTTTAAGCTGAGATGCAAATTATGTTAGTTTTTAATTCAAACTAATTTTGCCATTAATTTCTATTTAAGCCAAGGCAAATCTCATCAAGCTGCCCATGAGCTGAACTAAATCACAACCCATCGATGCTCGAGTTCCTCAAATTTCAAAGTGAGAAGGCTAATAGACTCCTAACTATATAGAGTGAGCTAGGGACTAGTGGGTTTCACTTAGGACTGTTGTGAAAAAAAGATGACAATAAAGTGAAAAAAAATATGAAAGAGAGAATCACACACGACACATAGATATACTTGGTTTGGCAAATTGCCTACGTTCACGAGAGTTGCAGAAGATTTTTTTGCTTGAAGAATCACAGAGTTGACCGCTTCGCCTACAAGAGCTCGTCGCGACTCCCTCTATCCTTATTCCTCTGTTCACCGCCTGCAATCTACCAGAAATGAGAGGGGCGAAGAAATTGTTCACCAATCGCGAGCTGATCGTGAGGGTTCAGTCACGAAGGCAATTAATTTATGCGAAAATGGGAGGGAGGAAGCAAGAGAAGGAAGGCACAGACGAAGGTTTTTTTTAAAAAAATATCAACTGTCATATGTGCAAACACCACCCACTCGAGCGAAGTGGACTGCACTCCACAATACTCAATAGGGATTACAGGGTAATGAGCAAGCCAAGTAACCATGATAGCCAACCAACCTGTTTAGGGCCACCCAACATACCCACCACACCATTATTATAAAGTTTTGTATATAACAACTAAACTTTCATATTTTTACACTTAGCACTAGAATTTCATACATTATATTAAGAATATCACTATCACTTATTTTTTAAAAGTGAAACACATGTTTTCATGAATAGGTTTTTAATATAAAGGGTTAGGGATGTGAATATCAAATTTAAGTTGTTAGATAGATATGTGAATACATAAGAATTAGGAGGTACGCATCAAAGTATGTAAATTTCCCTCTTTTTGTTATTAAAGCTTTGCTTGCTTAATTCTTCAGCTCTCTTGGATTTACTTAATATCCTTAAAAAATTATGCTTAGTCTTTCAACTTAATCACTAGAATATTTTATTCAACAACTTTTCTTGAATAACAACAAAATAATAAAATAAAGAACATGATTTATTCCCCTCTATCTTTTAGTTTATTCTACTATTTTTTAATGTGGATATTAAATAAATATTTTTTACAAAAAAAAGTAATAAACTAAAAAAATAAATATTGTTATACAAAAAAAGTAATACAACAACAACAACAACAAAGCCTTAATCCCACAACGTGGGGTCGGCTACATGAATCCTTTTTCTCCATTGCGTCCTATTTAGTGTCATATTTTCATTTAGTTCTAGTAAATTAAGATCATTTTTAATACAATAAGCCCAAGTCTTCCTAGGTCTACCTCTGCCTTTCTTAACACAAGTCGAATTTAAAACATCTACTCTCCTACCAAAAAGTTTACTTGTATATCCAAAAAATACAATTTTTTTTCCAAAACTTATATCCAGTTTATCCCAACTATCTTGAAGAGTTGACTTGGCGACAGAGTATAAAAACTGCATGAAGGAGGAGGAAGGCTACCCACAAAACAGTTAGCACACTTTGTGAAAACAACATTAAACAAAGCACAAGAATGATAGGGCTTGAATGAAAAGTTGTTGTCTTTAGAAGGGCATTTGATACCAACAAAGCTAGTTTTAAAAAGTGAGCCTTTGTTTTCTTCTATCAGTTTTCTGTAATAAAATAGTAAAACTCCAAAACAAGAATCAGAAATGATAAAAAAAACCTCACTTATATGCCTTATAAGTAGCCAGAGCCAAAATTACAAGACTAGAGAAAGCAGCAAACAACCGCCCCCATTAAAAATCCATCCAAAAGGATTTCTGGGAAATCTCCCCAACCAAACAGAAAAACCATCGGGTATGTGTTGTACTGTACAACATAAACTCATCATCCAGTGTAATAACAAATTGACCATTTGTAAAGAGGTAAATATACTAAATATGAGTTGTCTGACCAATACCAAAGAGAACCAGAGGGGTTGAGAAGAAAGCACACCCAAAATGCCCAGTCACATAAGAAAAAACGAAACTGCAAACCAGTAAAGCCCCAAAGCCAAAAACCAAAATTTTCAACCAACAAATTAAGTGTTACAAGTCTAGCCAATAAGAAATCACGTCAACCAACTAGCAGGGAAGCCAACATATCAAG